TGATACTTTGATAACACAAAATGGACAAACCCTTGGCACAACTGATCAAGAAAAAAGAGAGAGAGAGAGAGAAGACACAAATAATAAGTATGAGGAATGAAAAGGAGATACCACTGTAGTTTCTATAGACATTAAAAAGATCATAACAGGATATTATAAACAGCTTTATGCAAATAAATTTGAATGTATAGATGAAACTGTCAAATTCCTATAAAAATTTAAACTGTAATTTTAAACCTTCCTACAAAGAAAACTCTAGGCCCACATCAACATTTAAGGAAAAAATAACACTAATCTTGAAAACAATTCTTCTAGAGAATTGAAAAGAGAGGGAATATTTGATGTTCTATGAGGCCAGCTTAATCATGATACCAAAACCTGTCAAAGACACCACAAGAAAGAAAAATAATAAGCCAGTCTTTTTCATGAACATAGAAAAGTTCTGAACAAAATATTTTCAAACCAACCCAGCAATATATAAACACAATAATGCAGCATGACCAAGCTGGGTTTATTCCAAGAATGCAAGGTCGTTTTAGATTTTGAAATCAATTAATGTGCTATGTACCACATTAACCTAATAAGGAAGAAAAATCATATGCTTACCTCTATAAATGCAGATATAATAAAACTTGGTAAAATTTAACATCCTTTCATGATTTTTTTAAAAGCACTTAACAAACTAGAAATAATGGGGAATTTCCTAAACCTACAACAAACAGTATACTTGATCATGAAATTATGAAAGCATTTCCTCCGCAAGAGAGAACAAACATGATGCGTTCTGTTAGCCTTTTCCTGAGTCCCTCTCCAGTGCAATAAGGCAAGAAAAGAAAAGGCATAAAGATTGGAAAGGAAAAAATAAAACTGTCACAGACAACTTGACTGGGTATATAGAAAATTCAAAGAATGTTTAGGGAAACTATTAAAATTAATGAATGTAGGAATATTGTTGGAAATAGAGTCACTGTATTTTTAAAGTGTTTTTTTATGTAATAGTAACAAACAATTAGGAAATGCAATGTAAGAGGTGGAGATGGTGCTGAGGAGGTGACTAAAGATGACAGGGTAGGAGTCATGGAAATACCCAGAGGTGGCTAATGGGTCAGGAGATTGGTTACTTATAGGAAGAGCAAGAAAATAAGCACATACATTGAAGATAATGGGGGCTAGGTCTACTATAGGAGAAGAGCATTCCAAATACGGAAAGGGGGAATTTTGTCAAATGCTTTTTCTGCATCTATTGACACGTATTGATTGTACATATTTATGGGATACAGAATTATATTTCAATACACGTATACAATTAGTGATGATAAAATCAGGGTAATTAGCATATTCATCATTGTAAAACTGTATCATTTCTTTTTTTTTTTTAAAGATGATTGGTAAGGGGATGATTGGTTACTTATAGGAAGAGCAAGAAAATAAGCACATACATTGAAGATAATGGGGGCTAGGTCTACTATAGGAGAAGAGCATTCCAAATACGGAAAGGGGGAATTTTGTCAAATGCTTTTTCTGCATCTATTGACACGTATTGATTGTACATATTTATGGGATACAGAATTATATTTCAATACACGTATACAATTAGTGATGATAAAATCAGGGTAATTAGCATATTCATCATTGTAAAACTGTATCATTTCTTTTTTTTTTTTAAAGATGACTGGTAAGGGGATCTTAACCCTTGACTTGGTGTTGTCAGCACCACACTCTCCCAAGTGAGGAAACCGGCCAACCCTATATAGGGATCCAAACCCTAGGTCTTGGTATTATCAGCAACACACTCTTGCAAGTGAGCCACAGGCCAGCCCATAAACTGTATCATTTCTTTGTGATGAGAATATTTGAGCCCCTCTCTTCTAGCCATTTGAGAACATACAATAAATAATTGTTAATTATACATGCCTAGCACTACTGTACATTATTTTTCCTATCTAGCTGTAATTTTGTGTCCATTAACCGACGTTCAGCTATCCCCTCCCTTGATTTCATTTTTAAGCCTGGCTTCCTAGGAGATGCCTCTGCGTCAGAGGAGTTTCTTATTCAGTGTTTGGTCAGATCCTGTGTTTAAGCCTCTGTGCCAGCAAGGCTGCCACCCTGTTGAAATGGGGTTTTGTGCAGCTTTTTAGAGAGCTGATTGCTGCTGAGTGGAGGCAGCATAGCCCCTGCACACAACCTCCCAGCACCCAGCATTATCTGTGATCCCAGATAGGCTCTTCTTGACTGTCGCTTTCCCCTGTTCTCTCTATGAAAATTCTGCTGCTCTACCATTTTGCTCATATTATGGAGTTATCAGCCTCCTCTTAATTGCTCTCCACCAAGATCTCCAATGTCTTAGACAATGCCCGTAAGCATGGACTTCTCCGTGCTCTGTTCCAAATGAAGTCAGTCCCCTCAAACAGAGCTGTAGAGCTCTTCGTCTTATGGCCTGACTTTCCCCTGGGCAGAACCCTTGCTCCGCTGCACCCGAGCTGGAGGCAGGGACTTGCTTTTCCAGGAGCAACATCCCCATTCTGTGGGTGGCACTTGCGAGGTCGGTGGAGAGGTGGGGACGAATGGAATCCCCTGTTCTTTTCAGCTTGCCCCTCATGGCGTAGCACCTCCTCCCTATGAGCGAACTGGGATCGGAACAATCAGGCACTGTTATTTGTGGCCTGCTGCACATGGAGTAAAGCTTACACTGACGAGTGGGGACTGGCCAAGGGAAGGGAGTCTAGGTTCTCTTGGCCACGCCTACTTGGAACAGAGCTTCCGCAACCTGGGGCTAGGGCAGCAACAAGAAATGCCAGCAATCTACTCTTGCCAGAGTGAAACCGTAGCCCAAGATTGGGAGCTGCAGGGGCCACTGCTGCCCAGAGTGCACAACAGTGAAGTCCTTGGAGCTGGGGTGGGTAACAGAGCAAGCCATGGCTCGAATATCACAGACTCTATTCTTACCAAGATTGAGTAGACTATCTTGAATGAATTTCTCCATTTGCTGTATGCCTTAGGACAATTTCCAGAGACTTTAAATGATTTCTTTTTAATTTTTATTGAATCAAAATTGCTTATACATATTTTGGGGGTTCAACATGGAGATATGTTGATCAAATCAATATTACTAGCATATATATTGTTACAAATTATAATTATTCTTTATGCCCTTCGTCCAATCTCTCCCCTTCCCCCATTCCCTTCCCCTTTCCCCTCTAATTGCCCTAGATTTCTTCTCTCCTTCTGAAAGAGTAATGGTTACCCTGTTGATTTGTTGCCTAAATGATCTGTCCAATACTGAGAGGTGTGATCAGATCCCCCAATATTATCATAGAGCAGATGCTTCTTCTGTCACTCTGGAATGGGCTTTGTGGAGAGAGACATCCTATTCTTTTCTTTATCTCTGCTGGTGACTCTCCTTGTATCAATGTACTCCAGTGGCTAGTGGACCATCTGTGTGGTGGCTGTGGCATCTAGCTACTTTCGTGGCAGCCATGGTTATTGTGGTGGCTGTAGTGGGCCATCCACATGGAGGTGATGTTTTTGGCATGCTCCTTTGTGCTGGCAGTGTGCCTGATTGTGCAGAGTGTCTGTTCCCCAGATCCATGCCTTGGGTCCCCAGGCAGGCCCTGAGGCGCTGGCAGTGTGAGTGGTAGTGGGCAGCAGGTCCGGTCCCCTTCTCCATACCTCATGTCCCCTGGTGGGCCCCAAGGCACTGGTGGTGTGCTTGGGCCAGAACTAATTTTTTGTCCTTTGCTTACTTCTAAAATGGGGGAACTTCCTGTGGGAACCAGTACTTGAGCTGTGTGGTTGAGCTAAATTGCTGCTTTGCTGCTGTTTCCCTAGGGAAGGCTTTTTGTGCAGCTCAGGGTTTAATGGTTGACCTTATAGGTACTTCAGGCTCTCCAGAGACCTGGTGCACCTGGGTTGTATAGAAACTCTGATCTGGGCCTGAGCTTTTTCATCAAACTGCACCCCATGCAGTTCTGCATTCCCGACCAGTCTCCTCTGAGTGGTCCTGTGCTGATTGGGGGGTGGATCGGCTATCCTTGCTATGTCCCAGTGTTGTCCATCTCCCCCACCACTCATGCTCCAAACACTTCCCATGGGACAGGCCATGCGTCGGTCCCTTGCGATGACTCACTGGTCTCTGAGTGGTTCCCCTTTTTCAGCTGTTCTGGCTCCTCACTCCTGCATGGGTCCATGGGAACCCTATTAGTGGTCTTGCTGTCCTGGGGGCCACCAAGACCCTCTTCTCCCCTGCCGCTTCCAAGTAACTCCATCTGAAGGGCACAGCTGTGGCTTTTGCCGGCTCCTGCTCCATGTGCTCAGCAGCTTGAGCCTTAAAGTGGCCATGGCCCAAAATGCTCCAAGCAGTTTTTTCTTTCTCTCATCATGGTTTCTCCCACCTTCATGACCTCCATAGGTCTCTCCTCCTCTTCCCCTGAGCTCCAGAGGCCCCAGCTTGGCTGATGTTACATTTTTATAGTTATAAACTCATTGATTTGTGGGAGAGAGTGACACTGGGGACCGTCTATTCCACCATCTTGACCAGAAGTTTTCTAAATGATTTTTTTTTATCATTTTTACCAGTTAACTTATTTATTGGTGAAGAAGTCAGCTGAGGTACTCACTCTGCCATTCCAAAAGTCCACTTTCTCTGTGCTATTTTTGCAACTTCCTGTGAATGTATAATTTCAAAATAAAATTTTTTTGAAAAAAACACAGCAATAATTGATTGGTTGTAGCAATACGCAACCATTACAGCCCAGTCATTATATACATAAAGTGAAAAAGAAATAGTAGTGTTTCATCTTCAGTATTTTGCAAACATCTTAGGAAACAGAACATTAACATTCCCAAGAAGATTTGTTTTGTGCTGTCAGAAGAGTCTATACCAGGTAAGGACACTCTGCCCCAGTTTAGTGGAGTTCGTCCTGAAGAGTTCCTCCCCTCTTCCATGTTGGGGTGTGTGTGTGTACGTACACACTTAACTGGTATGTCTTCATCCCCTGCAGATTCGTTCAATTGTGTGGAATGCAGATGACAGCAAACTGATCTCTGGTGGCACAGATGGTGCTGTATATGAATGGAATCTGTCCTCAGGAAAGAGAGAGACAGAATGTGTGCTCAAGTCCTGCAGCTACAATTGTGTTACCATCTCCCCCGATTCCAAAATTATCTTTGCTGTTGGATCGGACCAGACCATCAAGGAGATTGCAGATTCTTCGGTGAGTCTGCCCCTGCCCCGCCTCTGGGCTACTGCGCTGATCTGCAGAGGACAGCCTCCCATGCTTGCCACAGAAAGTATACATGGGAAGAGGGCCTGCGAGTATAGGGCCCCTTCCTCATGGGATAGCACCAGGCTTCTTATTCCTGTGGGATCAGCTCAGTTATTGTCACTTTGTGAATTTCCTGCCTGGTGCCCTTCCAACTGGGTTAAATTGCCATGCCCTTTTCCATTTCCATTTTGCTTGTTCTCTGTAACTTCTCTTCTACCCTCCAGGCATGGAGGTCAGCAGTGTCCCTAAACTGATGAATTTCCTGCCTGGTGCCCTTCCAACTGGGTTAAATTGCCATGCCCTTTTCCATTTCCGTTTTTCTTGTTCTCTGTAACTTCTCTTCTACCCTCCAGGCATGGAGGTCAGCAGTGTCCCTAAACTGCACTCTTACCCTGGGTCGGCACTCACTTTCCTGGGGTAAAAACAAACTATGGCTAGCTGCTATCACCTAGGCTTGCCACTGTATTCTTTTGAAATCCCCAAACTCTGGAATTTTAGAATTACCACATTTACCTCCAAATAGTTAAAGGAAGAGAAAAGAGCTCAGCAAGGACACTTTATACAAATGTGGCTTATGTCCCACTCCAGGCACCCTGTGACAGTTGATTTCCACTGGCTTCTCTGGCTTTTCCTCCGTGCTTGTCACTCTCATGGGGCTAGTGCCTGGGAAAGTATGTAGCTACCACAGCAGCAAACTGGCCTGAGGCAGGTTTCCCCATGGATGGAACATGGCTCAGAGTGGGGTGACTCTCCTGGATACCCCCAAGTAGGCCGGCACTAATTCCATGCTGCTCTTACAATGCTGCACCAGAACAAAGCTCCTTTAGGGCAGGGTCGTGTTCCATTTCTCCGTCATCCTTCCTTGCTGCAACACCACGTGGCCCACGGCAAATGTGTGGGTGGGTGGGTGGGTGAGTGCATTACTGACAGAAGGGGTGAAAGAGTTCCCTGAAAGTACAGCCTTGTTATATAATGGGCATTACTAAATGCTCGCTGGGTAGATTTATGGTCAACATCCCGTTCTCACCTTGAGATACACAACGACAGAGCCATCTAGGGCAGAGGCTCTGGGGCCACACTGCCGCCTACCCAGTGTGGGAGCAGAGCCAAGTCCCCCACCATCTCCGCAACTCTGCTTTGTCATCTTTAAAAGAGGGATGGCAGCAACTACCTCTGCAGGGTTTTGTGAGGGTTGAATGGGGAACAACAAGAAAAAAGCACAAAACAGAGGTTGGCGCATTGTAAGTGCTGTAGAAAGATTTCCTTTCGTTAGTATTACTCCCAGCTCCTAGCACTGGCTGTGCATCAGTCAAGCAACCAAGAAATGCTTAGTTCGTGCCCCTTAGGTGCTGGGTTCTATGCCAGTGCTATCAGGAAGAGTCAAAACATTTTCTAAATACAGACCTTTCCCTAAGGTTGCTATGAGAGGAGAGGAAGAGAATGACATTGGGACACTGGGGACACAGCTCGGCCCCTCACACTGAACAGAGCTGTGTGTGTTCCAGATCCTTCGAGAGATGTCAGCATTTGACGTCATCTACACAGCCATTGTCATCTCGCATTCCGGGCGCATGATGTTTGTGGGCACCTCAGTGGGAACCGTTCGTGCCATGAAGTACCCTCTGCCTTTGCAGAAAGAATTCAATGAGTACCAGGCCCACGCTGGTCCTGTCACCAAGGTGAGGGGACCCTCTCCTGTGGGGCGAATCCCAGATCCCACCCATCACCTACCTCCTTCTTCCCATCAGCCTCTTTTCTGTCTTCTTGTTCCTTCTCCTTATTTACGACTATGCATTCTCCCGCTTCCCTTCAGATCTGCTAAGTTTTGTGGATATTTATTTTTCTGATTATAAAAGCAATGCATGTTGATTTTAGAAATTAAAATCCTCAAAATAGCATGATCATTGATTTCCTTCTACCCTTTTATATATATTTGATCTGTTTTAAATAATAGAGATCCTGTGAGATTGTGAGAAGACATTTTTATAGTTAACTCTTTTGCTTTAACTTTTTATTTTTAAATAATTCTAGATTCAAAGGAAATTTTGAAGATAGCATAGAGATCCTGTGTACCCGGTTTCTCCCAATAATTACACCTGTGTTTTAAATAATAGAGATCCTGTGAGATTGTGAGAAGACATTTTTATAGTTAACTCTTTTGCTTTAACTTTTTATTTTTAAATAATTCTAGGTTCGAAGGAAATTTTGAAGATAGCATAGAGATCCTGTGTACCCGGTTTCTCCCAATAATTACACCTTATGTAACAATAGTACAATATCAAACTAGAAAACTGACATTGATACGTTGTGTGTATGTAGTTCTATATCGTTTTGTCACATGTACAGTTTGTGTAACCACCACTACAATCAAGATATAGAACTGTCCCATCACCACAAAGGTGTCCTTCATACCACCCTTTTATAGCCATACCCACCCCTCCGGCCACCACCATCCCTAATCCCTGGCAACCACTAATTTGCTCTCCATTTCTGTAATTTTGTTACTTTGAGATTTTTATGTAAATGGAATCATACAGTATGTGACCTTTTCACCCAAGTTGTTTTGGGTATCGATAGTTTATTCCTTTTTACTGACAAGTAATAATCCATGGTATTCCATGGTAAACAAACCATTTACCCATTGTGGGATTTTTTTTTTCTTTCCGGCTATTACAAATTAAGCTGCTATGAACAATCATATATTGGCTTTTGTGTGGACATAAGTTTTCATTTCTCTGGGATAAATGGGCTATGATTGCTGAGTCATATGGTAAGTGTATGTTTAGTTTTTTAAGAAACTGCCAAACCATTACCCAGAGTGGCCGTACCATGGTGCATTCCTTCCAGCGATGCATGACAGACCCAGTTCCTCTGCACCATTGTCATCAGCACTTGGTGTTGTCGCCGTTTTTTATTTTAGCTGTTCTAATAGGTGTGTGTGCAGTGACATCTCACCATGGTCTTATTTGCACATCTTATGAACACCTTTTCATGTGCTTTCTTGCCCTCTGTACATACTTGTCAGTGAAATGTCTCTGTATCTTTTGCTCACTTTCTAATTGGATCGTTTGGTTTTTCTACTATTGAGTTTTGAGAGTTCTTTATACATTCCAGATAATAGTTGACTCTTAAGATTCCAAATCCATA